ATTATCAGCTTGAGTCTTCTTTTGCACCACATTAGAATCATCATTCCCAACTTCCTCAACTTCCAACACTGCAAATTTATTTCCCACTTGCACCTGCTGCCCTTCCCCTTGATTAACTGGAACTATTTATTTTCCAGTAATTCCTTGAAATTCTTTCTGATTAACAGCCTTCTTTGCACGATTATCCCTAACCTCTTTCCATTATTCCTTACCATTACCAGTCACATTGCCTACAACTTTCCCACTTGACAGAAACATTAAAGGTCCCTGTTGATTCAAATTTGCTGATACATTAGCCTGCTCAACCTGTTTCATAGCCTCATTCCCAGCCTGTTGCTCAGTAGATTTATTCTCCATTAGTTCTGGATGAAGCCTCCAACAATCAATCATGTCATGGCCCTGTAGTTTGCATTTTTTACAATATTTGGGCAGGTAATCATATTTAATGGTCACACATTCAGTCCTCACCACTCCAGTTGTCTCATTCTCGATGTCCATGCACTTTCTTAGGTAATTCGGCTAGAAGATCAATAAGAGCTTTCACTCGCGCATAGCTAGGCCTCGTTTTATTCAATGTAGTCATGTAAAGATGAAGAGGCTTACCCACAGCTGAAGCTAAAGAGAATAGATACTCATTGATGAAAAAAGTCGGTAACAAATTTGGAAACGAAATCCACGCCATTACCTTTGGTGTTTCCTCGCCGGCCTTGAATTTTGCATCATAAATCAACGTCCTCAATTGATATTCATAGCCAGCCTTGTCTTTCACGTAATACACACTTTTCGACGTAAAATCAATAAAATCTTGCCATAATATCAATCGAATTAATACATGCATGTCGCGAAGATATCCGATGTTACACTCGCCTTTAATTCCACATTGAAGAGGGACAATTCGACGTAATTCATTAAGCTCAGGCCATCCATATGAAAATTTGCAAACTACTGCATATTGCAAACCTTCAATCACATTCATTCACTCAACCTCTGATTTGGTGAACTTAATGATAGGTTGTCCATTAAGCAAACTCGCACGACACAATGGAATTGGTTCAACTGTTGACGCTCGTTCGTGCATGGCAGTGTTGATCGTGGCAGGTTTCAGGATTTTTGCAAAATCTAAACGTTGGGGATTGGTGTTTGTGGTTGTATTTGATGGGGCGATGGAAGGAGAAGGCTGACCAGCCGGCAAAGGTGGCTGGTCGCTGGCCAAATTGGCCATGGCAACGGTAGTGAAGAAATCGCCTGGTGATCGCCCAGTTTTTCTCCAGAGTTTCTCTCTCCTAGTTAGGTTACGTTCTTTTTTGTTGTCGTTTGTCCTTCTTGTTTGCACGATTTAATGCCTTGAAAGCTTTTTCAGGATCCGGTAATGCTTCAAACAATTCACCAGTTCTTGAAGAGTTCCTAGGCATGCACATGTAACAAACACGACTACAAACATTAGAGTTTCAATATAATGAGTTTAAAATGAAGAAAATTGAGTAAACTCAGAATCCTAGCAATCTTCTAGTTGTAACTAATAACACCGTTAATCCTCCCACAACGGCATCAAAATTTGATCACACCCAACTATGCGTTATAAAAAGGATTAAGTGGTCACTACAAATATCATCCGATTTATAAGTCCAGAGTTAAATCTCATAGAGAATTAACCTACTAATCACAACTGCTAGTTCCGCAAGAATTCAAGTAATGAACTTCTAGAAATATTGAAAATGAGTTGAGTGTTTACAAACTAGCAAGTTAATAAAAAAGTTGTAATTTTATTACTAACGAAGCAAATGTGTAGACAAGATTGGAAAGGTCTAGAGTTATGATTTCCCCTCTTATTGGAATCCTCCCCTCTACGTCTCCTATAAATTTGCCTAGATATTCTCTACTGATTGTGAGCATTTTAGGTATCATAATTCTTTGCCGAGAAACTACAACAATTTACTAGATGTATTCTTCCGAACTACGCTAGCTGGCATTAGTTCACCGCTCACTAAGTTCACACCAAGGTTTCGTTATTCCTAATCCCACCTTTAAACCCTCTGTATTGATCCCTCATATACGTTAGGAGTGATGTTGTTCAACAACTACCTAAATATGCACCATTTTCCAAGTAATACACACTAAATAGGCATAGTCAATTGAGGAGCCTTCAATCAACCACAATAATCACGTAGTTGAACAAATAGAGAAAATCCAATGACAAACTTATATTAAACGCAATAAAAATTCATCCTCCAAGAAGTTCCATCAAACTCTAGAATAAAGAGTTTAGCTACTCATAATCTTTTGCACAACTACAATATAAAAATTCATCACCAATAATAGAAAAAGGAAGAAGAAAGATAAAAACTCGCTTTCAAATCTTCCGCCTTGCTCCTTGCTTGTTCTTGCCTTCAAAGATGTTGTCTAGCCTTTAAAAAGTCGTTCTTTGATGTATTTATATCACTTAGGGTTGATGAGGGGCGCAACTTTTCAATCCAACTTCGGATGGGAGAAGCTGGAATCCGCGTCTGCCTCCCGCGAAGTGATCTGTGCCTTTGGTTTACTTCGATGTTTTGTGCCTTCACTTTTCTCCTTTTGCGCGTCCGTTTTCATGCCACGCACGAGAATAGACGAGCTACCAACCCTTTCATTTTTCTCCTTTTTGCAAAAATTTGATATCTTTTGATCCATTATCATCCAAGCTCATTCCTACACATAAGAAATACGTAATGAGTATAATTTACTTCAAAAATCATGTAATCTCCCGCAACTCACACAACAAATGAGATGAAAGTACACTCAAAATCGTGCAGACCATTTATCAATTATAAACATATTATACATATATTATAAATTTACCTGTTATTTTTAGTTTAACCTATTTAACGTCTATTTAGAATTCTTCAATAATATAATTATATATCTGCTAATAATTGACTGCTCCACTAAAGTACTTGCTTATATTGCTATTCATGGATTCAACAACAATTTGAAATTGTGTCCTATTCGGAAAACTATGAATCTATGCTTATTTTCAATTTGCCGAAGCGTTTTCATTGATCACTATACCATTCTTCATCTTTAAGTACATAAGTATCTGTCACATGTATTTTTTTAATAAAAATAAGAGTAAAATTATAGACAAAAACAATATGTTTTAATTTAGCATAGTAGATAAGTTTATATGAACGATTTTTTTGAAATCATTAAAGGAATGAAACGATAACTACTCGAAAAAATAATTGATGAAAATTTCGGCCCTTTCTGTAACCAAGATTCCCCACCTTAGTCTTTAATTAACAAGAAAAAAGCAAAAAGAAAAAAGAAACATATATAGAAAGATAAATGGGCCAACTTCCCATCAAAATCAATCAAGAAAATCATGCCAAATGATAATCATGGAAAGTGCTAAGGATCATTTTCCTTTTACTTGGGTAAAATTATCATTTACCAAGATTTGCTTCGCTGGATTTCTATTTTCTTTTTCAAATTCACTACCAAAATGAATATTGCTATTTGCACGGCGAGAATTGAGCATGCTACAAACATTCTCATTTGGATTTGGGAAAAAAAATCATAAATTTATTCTGATCATATTATTACCCTAATATCCGCCAATATTTTTTAAATGTTTTCTTTTCTAAATCTATTAATGCAAGTTGAGTAAACGACGATCAATACATTTGAACGGAGGGGGGCCTATCCTTTAGGTAGGGGACAAAAATATATGTAATATGTGTATATATTTTAAATAACGGACGTATATTGATTGGTATCCTAAGATTTAAATTTTAGACAGTTATATTGGTCGATTTGACGGGTACAACTTGAATTTTAGTGCACTGCCCGATTCGATTTCGATTCTAGCATTTGCTCAAATCTTTATTGGAAAATTGTGTGCGCTTACCACTTTCAAACCTTGGGTCCCCTCTGCATTTGAAGCATGTAATTTCTATTCAAACATAAGAGTAATTAGTTGAATTGAAATGCTAATCAGTTTGACTAATAATTTATTAAATCCGGTTAATAGTTAAGTGTCACTTCATCTCATGGGCAATAGGACAATCTAAAACTCACCAGCTAATTACTAAGATAACTACAATTAAGTTTACAAGTGCTACTTTCTTTTCTGTTTATCAAGAAAAAGCAGTAAAGTCGAATAACACAAGTTGTTAACTGTATACAAATTAAAGTCAAATAATGAAAAGGTCGATACTAAAATCTTAAAAAAATTGTTTTTTAATCAAAACTCGTCCTTTGTCATAAATTTTTCTTATGCTTTAGCTTCTTAAACAACAAAACTGTTTGGTTTAATAGATTAAACTGATAAGTATTAAGTGTTGAAAATGCTTTTAAATATTGAAAGCATAAAATTAATTTTACAAATACATAATGTATTTGAATGAAAGTAATTAAGCTAATAATAAACCGTGAATATGTTTGACAAAATGGTGATAAATATTTTTTGGCTTAAATGACTATTATGTCTTTATTACATTTGACTGATTTTGATTTACAAATGTGTTTTGTACACGCCGAACGTGTTGATAAATTACTAATCCCTTCATTTCAATATGATGGTGTTTGATTGTATGCTGAGTTTAAGAAAGAAAAAAATTTAAAACGTATAAAATAAAGCTTTAAAAATTCGTATGATTATAGATCATCTCACAAAGGGTAAAATGAGAGAGATTAATTTTCTTTATAAGTTTATTAAAAAATCTGCTAAATATTTTCATCCCTAAATTTTCTTTAAACTCTCTTGAATACAAAATCTTCATATAATTAGCCAAACCAAAAAAGTAAAAAAAGCCCATAAATTCCAAAAGACAACGCCGCCGCCTACATATCAACCGAAAGCAAAGTGGCCGAAATTGGCGGGAAAATCCAACAGTGAAGGCCTCGCCTCACATGGGCCCCACTTAAAAGATCCGACGGCCCATAATGCTTCACCTTCCCGCTCGTCTCAGGTCACCTTCCCATAATTATCAATAAGTAATATAGCTTTTTATAGTATAAAGAAACCTATATTTTTCCATTTATATTTTATGTTCTCTTTCTCACTACTCTAAATCTCCTCCGTCTCTTGTTTGATTCAATTACTCATCCATTTTTACATCTCAATAATGGTTAGTATATCAATTAATTTCATATTCGTATGCACTTGTATTTGATAGTATTATTTGTAATTTTTAGATTCTAAATCGTTCTCTCATATTCAAAACTTAAATTTAATGAGTTCAACGATTAAAGTCCTATCATTGATCTCAGTACACTCTTGAAATTATGGGTTCAAAGTTTAATTTTTTTAAAATTTTCATGATATTTCTAATATTTATTTATTTTCCGTGTCAAAAATAATGGATTCAGTTGAATTCGTTAAAATTTTAAAGTAGTATATAATTGTTTTTTTATTTTGGTGAAGGTGGGGTGTAAAATTCAAGTGAAGAAGAGGACACCAGAATGGATTAAGAATTTGCTTAATAGCAAATTCTTTGAGTCTTGTGATAATCACAAAGAAGTTAGAAGAAATGAGAAGAATATGTTTTGTATTGATTGTAATCTATGCTTTTGCAAACACTGTGTGAATTCTTCAGTTCACTGTTTTCATGAATGGCTTCAAATCTGCAAATATGTATATCATGATGTTATCAGACTCCAAGAAATTCAGAAACATCTTAATTGTTCTGCAATTCAGGTAAGTTAATTTTTATTTGCTTTATCAAATTATATACGGTTATTAAATTTATTTATAATTTTGTTGAATGAATTAGTCAATTGATTCATATCGTCCTTTTACCTATGTCATGATACTCATGAACAACTCATCTTTAATTGAATCATGTCTTATAAGGTAATGGATCTAAGTTATATATAGTAAAGATTTTTTTACCAATATCGGTAAATTTTAACTTTTAATTACCTTTTAAGTAATATGATGTTTAAATATTTTTACATTTTACTTGCATAAAACTTTAATTTTAAGTGAATCTTTATCATATAACATTAATTTGGACAAAAATGGTAACTAACAATGCTATCCCGTGTTAAAAGTTTATTGACAAATTTATACATGTCCGTGTATATAACTTTAATTCCAAATATAAATGCTTTACGTTTGATGTATACTATTAGGGGTCATCGGTTCGAAAATAAGTTATGCATGAAATTATAATGCAGTGATTTGTAAGGTGAAAATTGTAGTGTAGATAATATTTTTTTATTGGATATTTTCATGAAAAATTAAGAAATAAATCCAAAGAGTGAGAGCACTTTTGCCTCTTTATTTTGACCCATGTATTACTAATATTTGTATTCTTATTTCATATCTTTTCCGCATAAAACAGTACTATATAGATTTTCTCATAACTTAGGTAGATATTGATAAATAAAAAAAAACCAAACAATGTGGTATTAATTAGTACGGAATTTATACGGTGATCATATACTCCCATTCACCTACCAAACAGTTAGTCCTATATGTCTTTGATTAACTACAGAGGTATATATTATTACCTAACTATATTAAAATTATTTATGTGCAGACTTACAAAATTAATGGTGAAAAAGCTATACACCTAAATCCACGGCCTCAATCTAAGGATAGCAAAACTTCAAAGCTAAAGGGCAGTGTTGTAGCTTGTGAAGCTTGTGGGAGGCACCTCCAAGATTTGCCAAATCGATTTTGCTCCATTGCTTGCAAAGTAATTTTCTAAATTTTTTACCATATTTGAATGTTTATTATGGATGATCACACACCTTTTACGTTATTGCACTAAAAAAAGATGTCGGTACACAAAGTATCCTGCGTTCATGCAGGGTCCGAGCAGGGACCGTACCCCTTGGCCTGGGATGTAATGTAGCAAGCCTACCCTGATACAATCATCAATGTCTGATAACACGGCTCGAACCCGTCGCCTATAGGTCACATGAAGACAATTTAACCGTTGCTCCAAGATTCCCCTTCTACATTATTGCACTATATTCACTAAATTATTTTGTATAACGAAAACGTTACTAATTTGCCTAAATATCATAAAACGTCACTAGATACTTTTTTACGACCAAATGTCCCTCAACTTTACTTGAGTATCATAGGAAATATTTCCTTTTGTTACCTCCTCCTAACGTCATGTGATATTTAGGCAAAGTTGACAAAAAAGTAATTTAGTAATTTTCGTGATATACTTAGATAAAGCTGAATGACACTTTCGTTACGAGAAATAGTTTATTGACTCTAGTGTGATGAAGTAAAAGTTGAGTAATTATCCATGAGACTGACCGTCAACTTTATTTGCTTGTGAATGATAGAATTTTGTGAAAATCTATTTTAGGTATCAATAGATGCAGATATATGCAAACAGCGGAAGAATGTTATCTCCACTCAAATTACGAAATTTGATCATTTATCATCCAAGGAAAGTTGTTATACAAATGAGAATGAATCTTGCATCTCTTTGACTGAATCCTCAGAGGTAATTCAAACATGGTGCAGTTCAGCTTTGAAGCCAAAGAAGAATTTGCACAAAAGGAAAGGCATCCCTTGGAGAGCTCCTTTATGTTAATGTTCAAAAACAAAAGCAAAAACTATAGCGTCCGTACTAGTAAAAAAGGGGCTCTTCGACCAAGAAAATATTCTAATAGAAAGGCCGACCACTATAAAAGTCGTCATTGATGCACGAGACAAGTAAACTACCTTTCTTTGATTACCCTTCTGAGGCAGAGTGAACAAAATATGGACCATAAATGTAATCGCGGTTGATTTGAAGATCTTTCAAATTTTCTTTTACATTTTTTAGTAGTACTGGTTTTGGTATTCAAGAAGGGATGTACATGAACATATAATAAGAATAAAGTCAATTTTTTATACAAAAAATGTTAAATCATGGAAAAACATTATATGTTCATACTGAAATAGGCCACAATTTTGGGCTTTAGTTGGATTTGTTGATGGTGTGATCCCCACCTTGTCTGAGTAATGGAGTAGCAAATTGTAGTGGTTGTACAGCATAAAGATGGTCGGTGTTGACAGATATATTGATAATATTCTCTGTATATATACATCATTAAAATTTTAATATAATCAATATTTTAGTTAAAAATTTGGAAAAATGATATTGTATAGCGTTCTCAAAAATATAGCGAAAAAACGTATATTTTTTTATATTCTTTGTATATATATACATTTTGTATGTGATATGCAAAAATTATACAAATTTTATACGCTTTTGTGGCTACCGGATGTAAATAGTTTCGGCCGCAGGCTAAAAGTGATCTTTCCCCTAAAAATTTTCATTTTAATAGTAAAATAATCATTCTTGCCATATTTTCCTCTATCAATATGCTTTATTTTTTATGTATTTTCTTACAGATTTTGTTCAGCACTTTTAAAATGAAATCTTTGGCATAACTCTATAAAGCGTATAATTTTTTTGAAAATTGTGCTCTAGTTTAAATTAATTAAGCCTCCATACCACCCATGTGCTATGCAAAAATGTCAAGTTCATATCTTCTCATGTGAATGTGGCAGACAAAAAGGGTTCAGAGGGAATAGAAATTCTGAATTTCTGGGTTTGTCTTGTTTTGTTTTCTGCTTTAACAGAGTTATTTTTTAAAAGTCCAAAGCAGCATGTGACCTTTATTTTAATGGTAAGACTACAGAATGGAGTTATATGCTCTTTTTAACCTAATATATCCTTGATATGGAGTGACATTAAAGTCTACTTTGCCTTTTAATAATAGAACGGTCAATGTATTTTTATGTAAGATTTATTACTTAATTATGATTAATTAAAACTTATTCTGCTTCGTTTATTACTTAATCATGTGGCTCGATGCATATACACCCGTGTCCATATGTGCGGGTGTACAAATGGAACCGACAAACCGAACCAACCCGATAATCCGAATCAAATCGAGAAAAAAATCCGACTATGATTTGATTTGACTTGGTTTGGTGTGGGAAAAAAAAACTCAACCACATTTAGTTTGGTTTGGTTTTAACTAAAAGAAGTCAAAACGAAACCAAACCAACCCGACATTATATGTATAGACGTAAATTTATTTAGTACATAAAAATATTTATTGTAGTGAAGTTTATAAATATTTCTTAAGCTTTTTCATAGTTTTATCTTTCCACGTTTATTTCAAGCTTGGACTTATAATTTTTGGATGATCTAATAAGTTTTATAGTTCATAAATGCTAGTAACTCAAATAAATCCTAAATCAATATCAAATTAATACTAATGCTAATAAAAGACATTCAAAACAATTGTATTACGAATGAAAATAGTGTTGGATATTTATTTTTTTGTTTTTTCGTGGTTTAAATAAAATGCATAACTTATTTTTCTTTTAGTGTTTAGTCATATAAATAATAATGCTTAATAGTCGTATTTATTTTTATTAACTTATTAGTAATATTAAATTATGTTTGTTTTCATTATGGCTTATTAATAATACTTATTTTATGCGATTTTATTATCTTTATTGTTGAATATTTTAGTACTATGCCATGACTCATCTCATATTTATGTTATTTTATTGAAAAACACCTTATATAGTTCTATCTTACTAGGATTAAAGAAATATTTGGAGCACAAATTATAAATTTTATGCTATGAAGACTTTATGGGGGGGAAAAAAACCCGAAAACCCGAAAAAAACCGAGATTGAAAAATCTGACTTTTATTGGTTTGGTTTGGTCTTTTAGATTTAATAATCTGTCAACAATTGATTTGGTTTGGTAATTAGAAAATTCGAACCAACCCGACCTATATACACCCCTAGTGCGGCCTATACACGGTAAAGTACAATATGTACAATAACAAACGCTTAAAGAGCATGACTTATAAGATATCAAAGGTTGCGCTTCAAAAGTGTAGTTGTAGCACAGGAAAAGCATTTTCTTAGAAGGGTTTGGTTACTAAAAAAGTCATGACACCTTTTTGTAAATCGTGGCCTTTCCCTCATAAAAGGCATCGTCTTATGTCAAAAAGTATGACCTTTGATTCAAAAAAAAAAAATCATGTTTTATATGATCTTTTTCATGTTACAACTTGCGTAAATTATTAGTTATGTCAGTCCATAAGTAAGTACCTACAAAAATTAGGAGTTCACAAAATATTACTAATATTATCCAATTAGCTATTTATAACTTAAAAAAATTAAATTTTTGCTTTCTTTTGAGTGGGTGTTGTTGGAATAGATTGGGTACATCTTAAGAAGTTTAAATCTCAGTTTTGGGATGATTTGGTAGAGTTTTGAGATAGTTTGAATTGAAAATTCGAAGAAGAAGATGAACATGGAAAAAGATGATATGTGTATCACACTGTGTATCATTTGTGTATCACATATGTATCCTATTTGTATCAAATGTATATCACATGTATATTAATATATACCTATGTGTGAGATACATCTGTGATACATGTACGATATATGTGTCGCAGAAGAATTTTTTTGAAATCGATTATTTTAACTACGAATTTTGATACTAAATCAGCCCAAATCACCTCCAATCTTCCTCAAATTTTGTATATTGACTCATCTATATGTTTTCAATGAATTTCAACCATACCCATTAAAAAATGTTCCTTGTTGTTTTTAGTGAATTTCACACACACACACACACACACACACACACACACACACACACACATATATATATATATATATATATATATATATATATATATATATATATATATATATATACACATACATACATACATACATACATGTATACGGTTAGAACTGGGCCTACCCAATTACATTATTTTTGGTCGAGACAAGGGAACTGCGTCGAGGGGTAGCCTCGTAATGAATCAGACCAGAGCACGAAAATGAGTCATCGAGTCCAAGGATCGAGGTGCCTGTCGAGATCGAGGCCAACATCGACCAAGACCAAATATGTCAGACTTCGAGCAAAGCGCAATAACGGAAAGGTGAGATATCCGTGACTGACCGGAGATCATGGCGTAAATCTCGGAACATATCAAATCAAGGGCAGTCATCTAGTTAATCATGGGATTTACTTCCATAGTTAGAATTATACCTTAAATAGGATTCTTCTACTATATAAAAGGGGTCCTATCATCTTGTAGACACCTTACATTCACACAGATCAATGGAATACAATATTCATTCTTTAATTTAATTATCAGCTTGTTACGATTTAACTATCATTGCTCAATTAACTCGAGGGTGTACTAGCTCGAGGGCTTTGTCCAAATATTGGTTTGATTTACATTATTGTCAATTTCCTTCACTTATCTTTACGTTTATCAATTAGTATTAGGTGAAATCACGTATCCTTAAAACCACATTATAAGTTTAATTGTTATCCAGTTTTTAGGGTAAACAGTTTGGTGCCCCCGTGGGGCTAAGGATAATAGTGATTGCCTGGTATTAATTCCCGTAACACACACTACTTTACGCTTGTTCTCGTAAGTATTTTTACTTTCAGGGTCAGTATGTCTAACTCGCAAGCAGTAACCACTCACGTCGATGACGGCCTTAGTTTCCATGGAAAAAATGGTAATGTAGCCGCCCCAGGGGTCGAAGTGCCTCTAGTTGGCCACGAGGGAGTACCTATCGCAGACCCCGTCGATGTCAGCTTACATGTCATCCTAAATGCAAATCTGGGCGTCGAACCTACAAATAGTGTCTGTGGAAATGCCCGAGCGGCCGATCAGAATGCACATAGCGATGAAGAAGGCGGGACTAGTCTTTGATTGATATTCAAAATGTTGCAAACTCAGCAAGCTGCTATAGCACAACTCCAAAAATCAGAATCAAGCACCAAGCAGAATTGAGCTCGAAACATCACAAGAGGTTGTTAATAGAGTTGAACCTGTACCAGAGAAACCGAATGCTAATGAATCGAGGACTGATCCCGCCATTATGAAGATGCTTGAAGAGCTCACAAAACGGATAGAATCGGGTGAAAATAAAATTGAGGCCAATGACAAACAGGTAGAAACATACAACTCACGAGTGGACCAAATACCAGGGGCACCCCCGATCCTAAAGGGTTTGGATTCAAAGAAGTTCGTGCAGAAGCCTTTCCCTCAAAGTGCGGCTCCGAAGCCCATTCCTAAGAAATTCGTGTGCAAGACATCCCCAAATACCATGGGTACCACCGATCCTAATGAGCACGTCACTTCGTACATATGCGGAATAAAGGGAAATGGCTTAGAAGATGATGAGATTGAATCTGTTCTATTGAAGAAATTTGGAGAAACTTTATCGAAGGTTGCCATGATATGGTATCATAACTTACCACCTAACTCTATTAATTTGTTTGCTATGCTCGCAGGTTCTTTTGTAAAAGCCTATGCCGGAGCTATTAAAGTTGCAACAAGGAAATCAGACCTCATCAAAGTAAGACAAAAGGATAACGCGATGCTCAGGAAATTCGTATCTCGGTTCCATACGGAACAAATGGATTTGCCTCCAGTCACCAATGACTGCGCTGTTCAGGCTTTTACACAAGGTCTCAACACTCGGAGCTCCATAGCTTCACAATAGTTAAAGCAAAATTTAATCGAATATCCAGCTATCACTTGGGCCGATGTACACAATCGGTATCAGTCGAAGATTAGGGTCAAAGATGATCAATTGGGAACTCCAGTTGGTTCGATTTATCCCAACAGGCTTGCAGACAGGGTAAAAAGGGATGTCGATTGCGAATCACGATTAAATAGAGATAGGTACCAGCCGTATAGTGGAGATCGGAGAAATAACGGGAATGAACGCTACCCCGTATGGAATGATAGAAGAAATGA